AATCTCACATCAGATCATTACTCGATACACCTAAAGTCCTAATAGCATCGGCAACAAATTTAGAAAAGTTACAGCATCATGTCATGTCCAATGTCAATGCGCTCAGAGCATTAGGACAACCCATAGAGTCTTGGGACGCATGGTTGGTCACACTCATTTGCAGTCGTTTGGATAGTGCCACAGTGGGGGAGTGGCAACTTCAATACAATAAAAAAGAATTACCAGTGTTTTCTGAAGTTGAGGCATTTTTACTCAATCGCATTGCAGCTTATCAGGCAGGAGAAATGAATGTTGTATCTACCATAGAAAAGAAAGCTGTTGGAAGAGTGTATAATCCTAAGTTGCARGAAAAAAAGGCCTTCCTTGTAGCACCAGCTCRAAAACCAATTTATACAATTAAATGTATTTTGTGCAATGAAGGTTACAGATTGTACCTGTGTAAACGATTCGATAARTTACCTGTTCATGAGCGACGTGATGTTGTCATGAAAAATCATTTATGTTTTAAATGTTTAAATGTTAATCATCAAGCAAGGTTCTGCAAATTTTCAAACTGCTCTAAGTGTGGAAAAAAACATAATATTAAATTGCATTTGGAAGAGAGTGACGGATCCACCACGTCTGACCAAGATGATGCATCTGGTACACTTGAGCAGCCACTGTGTAACGCTGAARGTTTAGCACAAGTAATGCACGCATCTGGTGACTCGGTAATGTTAGCCACTGCTATTGTGCTTATTAATGATATAACAGGTGTATCTAAGCGTTGTAGAGCACTGCTGGATTCAGGGTCACAGATCAACTTCATCACTGACGCTTGTGCTCAATCTCTTAAATTACCAAGAACAAACTGTCATCTACCAATTGTTGGAATAAATTCAAGGCGTTCAATGGCTCAAAAATTGGAACCTGTGTTAATGTCTTCACGGTTTGAAAATTTTAGCACTCTAATAGATTTACATGTACTTCCATCCATCTCAAATACATTACCGACACGGCCCTTAAAACTAGATCATTTTAAAATTCCAGAAAAAGTGARAGATCAATTGGCAGATCCCAGTTGTGGAGATCCTGGAGACATACAATTATTGCTTGGTGCAGAGGTGTTTTATACTCTATTTAGTGGTGAAAGGTTTGAAATTGAAAATAGTTTAATATTTCATAATACGGTACTCGGATGGGTTCTTACCGGCAAGGTATCTGATAATCAGTTTAATCATATCAAAACATGTATGCATGCTTGCTTCAGTGAAGGAAGAGTTGAACCAGCATTGKCATTATTTGTCACTAAATCAAGAAGTCGTCGGATTGATGAACAGAAGGTGGAAAAATATTTCAATGATACTCATTACAGGGATGACTCTGGAAGGTTTGTTGTGCGGCTTCCAATAAATGCTGATATTGGCACA